TAATACTAGTTATAAGTAATAGTTTAATAAAACACCTTCAAATAAATCTCATAGATTTTATAGTATACAAAGATGTGAATAATAGGTTTTCTTGGCTTTTACTATAATTTGTATTTTTTCAAAATTTTTGTAGGCTATTTTAATCAAATTAAAAGAAGCTAATAATATTATTAAAGCTTTAATTTCTCTATTTTTGCAATGGAATATACTATCAATCTTGTAATATAACAATAATAAAGAGTTTATTACTAATATTATTAAACATACGTATTTGCGACCACTTGAAATTATAATTTGACTTGGCTGTTTAAAGTATCTGATAATCCAAGAGCAAATCAAATATCTAAATCAAATAGTTGGATGTAGATTTATAAAAATGTTGCAGAATAAAAATACAACTATAAAATATTAATTAGAAAGACTATTTGTTAAAGTTTATTTTTTTCTACAATACTACCCAACATAGTACTCATGGAAAACCCTTCATGAAGTAATATTTGGCTACAAACTTTTTAGAACATAACAGCAATTCAATCTCAGTAATATTGTTAGTTTTTAGAAAATAAAATACAACAAACACTTCAAATTATAAAAAACTATCTAAAGAAAGTTTTAATATTTACAAGCCCTTGGATCATCTATTCTAAACTATTTCTGACAATTTTTTTTCGCCATCACTTTATCGACAATTTAATAGAACATCATTCAAACGTGCTAATATTATTTTTTATAAATTTTTTTAATAAATTACATTGCTTGACTAAAAACAGTTGATTTTTTTAAATTTAACTAAAAAAATACATACTACGAGAGAAATACTAAAAATACAAATAATATACTTACAATACTTCATTCTTTAAAATTTAACAACTTAAAATCAAAAATGCCACGCCACCACCAAGAATTATATGCTAACCTGTTAGGAGTAAGAATATTAGGTATTTTTTTTAATGCATCTCGTGTAGAAAGTTCAATAATTTTATTTTTAACATCTTTTGGATTATTTGCAATACCCATTGAAATAAATAAAGCACTTAAACCACTTATATGAGGAGAAGACATTGAAGTTCCTGATAAAGTTGCAATCACATTATTTTCTGAACCTATCCATGATGATAAAATATCCACACCCTATTTTTTATAATTAGAATAAATGTTAAAATTTATAATGTAATAAATCAAACACAGAATGAATTAATGATTAATAAATACTATATACCGGAGCAAAAATATCGACACATTTGCCATGATTAGAAAACCCTGCACAGTAATCATCAATATCAGAAGCGCCTACAGTAATAGCTAGCTCGGCAGATGCTGGTGATCCATTACAAGCATCATCATTTTCATTTCCAGCTGCCACAGCAACAACGACCCCTTCTTTTACAGCCTAAACAACAAAATAAAAAGTAAATTTTCATATTTTTTTTTAAAATATATATATATGGATGATTATTACATTACCGCATTGACAGCCTCATTTGTGGCAATACTTTTATCACCGCCTAAACTCATATTGATGACAGACCCCTTGTAATCACTATTCATTTCTTTTGTTTTATGTTGAATAACCGTCCATTCGATACCTTTGATGATGTCTGAAATATAGCCATAACCGTAAGAGTTCAGAACTTTGACAGCAACTACTATCGCATTCTTGGCGACTCCATAAGTTTTACCCGCAACTATTCCAGCAACATGAGTTCCTAAAAAAACAAAAAACAAAATTGTATAATCAATAAGTATCAAAATTTATGATAAAAATTTTAACTGAATACTGGAATACTAATAAAGCGTACCATGACCATGCCCATCACCATCATAATAATCATTAGAATAATCAACACCCCAAATAGCTCTTCCTTCAAACTCATCGTGATGTATGTTTACACCAGTATCTAAGATATATACAGTCACACCATTACCACCACTTTCATGATACCAATAACGTTCTGAATCAGATGGCCAATCATCAACTCTTGCAGAAATTCTAGCTAAACCCCACGGAGGATTATGCTGAATTTTATATTTTTTTATCTTGTTATTTTCATAATTTATTTGAACTATTTTGTCTTTTTCAACATAATCAACCTTATTTAAATTATTATTAAAATTATCGTTATTAAAAGTTAAATTTATATAATATATAATTTAAATATACTGTACTAAAAAAATAATCTTAATAAAATACGTTAACAAAAATAATAATTTACCTCACTACTTTGTCTAATATTATTTAATACCTTTGCGGAAAACTTTCCGGCATAACCTTTAAATTCATTAAAATCATAAGTATGACGGATTTCATTTATATTAATTTCATCATCATTTTGAGCAATTAATTGACGTAATTGATTATAATGAGAATTAATTCTATCTTGGTCAAGATATTTTTTAAAAATTATAATGTATTGGTCAGGAATTACTTTAGCATTTTCGGAAGAAATTAAAGGTACAAATGATTCATAATCATAAAATTTAAATTTATAAGAATAAGGTAATGCTGATACAAAATAAATTAAGAACGTTAAGAAAATTAACGTTAAAAGCTTTTTAAAATACATCTTTTTTTGAAAGTTAGGGATGATGAAATCAAAAAAAATTTGTTTACACATTTTAAGCCTGGTGGGCGCTTGTTTTTAATATTTTTGGAATAAACCTGTTATAATACCAGCCAAATTAACTGCCATTTCCATATTAATCAATTTCTTTAAAAAAAACATCACAAGATTTAGTGAAACATTTTGTAAACAAATGCGAAAAAGATGCGTAAACAAAAAATTTAATAAAAGAGTTGACAATTGTCCAAGCATCCCGTACTGAGCCAGCATACTGACAGCTGAGTTATGCTAGTCATATTTATCAATGCTTATTCTCATAATTCAAAAGAATAAAAGATTCACAGTCCGCTTCTCTCAGAAATGATTGCATTAAGAATATCCAACATGATTAGTAACAACTAACAACTTAGAAAATATAGCTATATGGATTTCGTATATTAACTAAATTTGGCAAAATCCAGGTAAAAAAAATAAAATAAAAACCTACTTTTTTAATAAAGGAATTCATGAATTCCTGCATTTTTTGTTTTTTTTTTTTTATACTTTTGATCCTGGATTACGCGCAGAGATTGCTTAGAACGTCCACAACTTTATTATTTTATGCAATAATTTGGATCAGGTTTAGAATAACGAAACACCATTGATAAATTGTATTATTAATCAAAGTAGGATCTCTTGATCCTACAATTTACTGAATTTTTTATACATATAGCATACTCTAACAAGTTATCGTTCTGACATAATTAAATGAAACGATTTAAAAGGTTAATAATATATTTATTTATTAGGTTTAAGTAATAAATTTTTTAAAAGATTGCTTTAAGAATTACTCCAAATTTATCTACGTTAATTTTGATATAAAATATAACTAATGTTGCTTTTAAAATAATTATTATTAAATAAATATCAGATATAACATATATAACCTAAAACATTTAACATGCATTTAGAAAAAAATAAAGGGTTTAAAATGAATATAGCTAAAAGTCTACAAACCATATACGTACTTACATTGTACGTATTGGCGAAAGTATGAATCACATGTAGACTATGCCTACAAAAAAAAACATAATAATATTTCGACTTCATTAAAAATCCTCGACGTTACTGTTAATTTCATTCCTTTTTGTTATTTTGCTACTTTTGTTACTTCAGTTACTAACCTTTTATTTATTCAAAAACTTTTCCTTATCTCTTATAACGATTTGGATCTGATTCATCTATAGTATGAGTTCCATAATGTGGTGATGGCGACTTAGATGTTGGTACTACATTTTCGGGGTACTTTGGTGGTGGTTGAAGCCCTTTCATTGGAACTTGAGAAATTTCCGGGGATTTGTACGAAGATTTATCATTTTGTTGTGAAGTTGTATTATTATCGTCAATCGGAATAGCAACCGAAGGAGAATTTTGATACTGACGGGCTTGATTATTGTATCTTGGATCATTTGGATTGTTAACTCCAGCTGGATTGTTCGGATTGTTAACTCTAGCTGCATCGCTACGATATTTGTAAATTATGTAAAACGCATGAATTATTCCTATATAACAAAATTTCATCATCAGATTATTATTATTATTATTGTGAATGATATTCAAATTAATGAAGACTTTAGCTACCTGGAATATGCCCTGTAATTATGATTATGAATACAGTTAGAATAAAGAAATTTCAAGCAAAAAAAAAAAAATTTTGAAACGAGGTTATTTAATTGTACTAAAAAAAAAATTATGATTTTACATAACTTTTTTTACAAGTTATTATTGTACTAAAAAAAAAAATTATGATTTTACATAACTTTTTTTTACAAGTTATTATGACAATTAACAAAAACCTCCTTTCTGACCATAGTAAACACAAAATTAACATTATTTACCAAGAATTGTCAAAACAATGTTAATACTAAATAAAAAAAAAAAATTTTAAAAATTAATAAAAATAGAATATTTATTTTTTCCAATAACTACTGTGAAAAAAGAAATCGAACCAAAAATCGGCAGAACATCCTCGCTTCATAAATACCCCAACCGGTGGAAGGAAGAAACTAAAAACCATGGCCATTATGTCGTAGGAACTGTATTCTGCCATTTTTTTTATTATAATAAGAGATATAAAAGTGTGATTGAAGTGTGGTAGAAGTAAGATTGAAAGACAATTTTGAAATACAAAAATATGTCGTTATAAATAAAAAGCGCAATTACATCACAAGATTTGGCTGTTTTCATCATGTTATAAACTGACGTATAGGTATTGTATTGTATATTGATATAATAGTCTTAGTCTTTAGTGATGTAAACATGATTTCGTAATTTTTTCTTGTTGGCATGATTATTACGTAAATCATCATTCGTGGATAGTGTCACAACTTTTTTTTTTATTAAATTGAGGCTAATGGTTAATGTTATATAAATACTTATTAACTTACCAAATCAAGTATAGCGCAAAAACCATCTAAAGGCATCCAAGCTTCAACGAAAATTCTCTAGTTCTGTATAATATCTGCCTAGTTAAGTATTGTTTTACGAAATTTAAATATTCGCCGAGTAGTACTGTACGTAGCAATTTTAAGAAATTTCCATATTAATTAATGATCGGGTCAGATACTAGATTAGCTACAATTAACGTTAATAAGTTTAATAGTTAAATTTTAATGTCTATAGATGGTTCGCACAAATAATTCATTATATACGATGAATAATTTATTGCATATTATCGGTGAAGCTTTGTATATTAATTGTACATTTTTAATTTTTTTTTAAATTACAACTGCTAATGTTATACAAAAATTTTTATATATGTTTTTGATATTTAAAAAACTCAATGAACATTCAAGTTTTTGGTCAAATAATGCTCGAAACTCATCGACTCCAAGCTCTACTTTCACTCATTAAACCTTCTTTAACCGAAATAAAGCTCTATATTTCATTATCCTACGGGTCCAGAATAAGTTGAAGCCGAAATGAAAACCTGAAATTTATTTAGGAAGTGAAGACGTCAGAGGAGTTGAAAGAACCAAAGAAGCTCCCGTAATAGTTCTGTAGTTAACGCTACCATTATTAAATCCATTACTACCATCAGTTCAGAAACGAAGAATTGCAGCAATTCCTGTAATTCTACTGTATAAAAAGGATAAGTCTAAATAAATAATAACAATTTTGAATTAAATAACTATAAATAGATTAAAACAGAGTAAAGAAATTGTCAACTCACCATCTTCATCTAAAGCTACCAAACGATGTGCACTAGAAACTTTTTCTAAAAAACAAAAAGACAAGAGTTTGTAAAAGCTTGTTTCGAGAAAAATATTTATTTAGATAATAATGAAAGTCGAAAACGAAAAGTTGTTTACATTGCTCAATGGAAAAAAAATAAGACGAAACAAAGACTAACCTGTAAAGTAAAAAAGTTAATTGAGAAATTAAGATTTTATAAATAAATATGGTTTAATTCTCTTAACCTAAAGGTCCATGTGAAATTATACAATATGTATACATTATTGTTCCTGTGATATGATCATGTAAAAATTTTTTGCCTCGATATTATTGTCATAAAATGACATCATCATTTATGCAAAATGTCGCGACAAAAAATTTCACATGCTAATATAATATGAACAATAACATCAATATTGGACATACGAAAATAACAAGAAATTTTTCTCATCGGAGTTAATGTCACTCATGTGCTGCTACGCAGCACATGGGAGTGACATTAATTCCGATGAAAAAAAAATTCCTTGTTATTTTTCATCGTACGCCCAATATCTTATACATATCTGATATTCACAAGGTTACTGCAAATTATGATGTATCTTGAATAACTTTCTGCATATAGGCAAGGTATAGCATGCCGTAATTTAAGCAAAAAAACCATAACTAGTTATAACTCAGTTACGGTACAACCCAAACTAGTATCGCCACCAAATCAGGTACGTACGTACGTGCGTATGTACAGTACGTACGGAGCTTTAATTCATTCACATGATAAGTATGATTAATATCATTTTCTCTAAACAGAGGTTATTTATTTTACATTATTTTCGTTCTTATCGAAAGACGAAACCCTACTAAATAGTAAAAGAAAACCATGATTTGAGTGCTCATCATATTTCTAAAAATTTTTTATTATATATTATGTTTAAAAATTCTAAATTTCAGCAGAAATAATAAAAGAGCCAGAGGAAAAAAAAAAAAATTAATATATTAAAATTCATAAACTTTTTATTGCAAGGTCAAAATATTAAATATAACATTTAATAATGCACGATTTTAAAAAATAATCGATTTTGTAAATTCCTAAAACCGCGCATACACAAAAATGAGGAACAACTTATACGTATTAATCTAAAAAGTACGTAGTAACTATTTAAAGTTTTTGACTATATATTAAAAACCAGAATTTTTAAAACATTTTTAGACGTAACCAGATTCAATATTACAAAAACCAAATAAATTCTTTGAATAATTCAATAAAAGAAAAATTGTGGATTATTTTTTCATAAGTTTCATGTTAATCAAAACAAAACTCCCAAGTTTAGATCAAATTTTAAGTAGTGATTACGTACGTATCTGATTTTGGTGGCGATACTAAGTGGCCTATCCCAATGCTTCAAGTTCCTCCTGCAAACGTCATTATATTGTTTTCGGTTTTGTTTGGACTAATACCTGTACAAAATTACAATATTCTGTATTGGAAGACGGTAATCAAAATCTGACCCATTTTTCATTAAGTAACTTACTAATAGATTAATACAAGATTGATAACAATTTTCATAAAAAAACTTGCTCAAAATAAGTAGATAAATTCAACGCGATTATACGAATTATCAGCCATGTCCTATGTGATTGAGCATTTCATATTTGTTATAGAGGGTGACCGAATAGGTTTACATCAGACGTGTCGGATAAGGTCGAGTCTTAGTAATTGATAACCGATTTTTTCATAATGAATAATCAGTTATCTAGTACTTACCAAAACGAAATGAAATCTGAAATATAAAGTGAACTTTAAACTTTAATGTTGATCTGTTGCTACCTTTTTTTTACTATTCCTTCCTTAATTCTCATAAAATAAATAATACAGCATTTTTAATTAGGATAGATGTTATCATGTATCTTATCGACTGATATTATAATTTTGGTTAAAATTTTAATCTTACTATTAGCATAACGCTACAGTAATATAAAGTTAATTCACAACTCTTATAAACATAATTCCGGTAGAGTTGATAAACAAAATTGTCTAAAAAATGCTATCCAATCAAAGTTTTAAAAAGATATCACAGAATTTTCTGGAATTTCTTTTCAGAATCGTCATGTAAGACAAAAAAATAAAATTCATTAAAATATATTTCTAGTAAACATCTTAGAATTCCACTGAGAATGTTCCATAAGAATTATCTAATAAATATAAATTGTACAAATCTTCGTAAATATTTAAAGAGCATATTATCACAATTTCTTATATCATTTTTATATTTGTACTAAATTATTATCAATATACCATATTTTTTGAGTTAAATTTTCGTTATGAATAAAACTAAAGTTAAAAAAAGTTGTAAAAATTGTCAAAAAATAAGGGTTCATAAGAATGAGAATGCTCAACAATGTAATATTTGTGATCAATTATCTCAAACATTATCTCAATCAGTACTAAGCGGTAATGATATTATCGATAAATGGCTTATTCAAACAAAAACGGAAATTATTTCATATAGCGGAGGTAATGCAGGAAAGAAATTTGTAGAATTTATTCCATATGAAAAATTTAATAATATTACTTATCTTGCTGAAGGTGGATTTAGTAAAATTTATAAAGCAATATGTTCACATGAAATAACTTCTTATTGGGACTCATCTAAGCAAAAATTCAGAACTAGAAATGATAGCATTGTTGCTCTTAAAAGTCTTAATAATTCTGAAAACATACATTTTGACTTTTTAAATGAAGTATGAATTTTTCGATTATATTTATTTCTATAATGCTGATATTAAGACTATTAACAAAACAGTGTTATATTCTATTTATTTTAGTTGACCACTTATTTCAAGTGCACGGATTTTAAATCAGGCGAACTAAACCGGTATATTGGTATTACACAACATCCTGAAACGAAAAAATTTATTATTATAATGGAATATGCATCGGGCGGGACCTTGCGCAATCGTATACCACGTAATCAATATGAGTTTTTCAATATTTTGTTAAGTATAGCAAAAGGTCTTAAAAAAATTCATGATAAACAAATTATCCATCGAGATCTTCACAGCGGTAATATACTTGTTATTAATGGTGATGCAAGAATTGGAGACTTTGGAATAAGTAAGCCTGCAAACATTGCATCAAATATAAACGAGGTTTATGGGGTGATTCCATATATTGCGCCAGAGATATTCAAAGGTGAAAAATATACTAAAGCCTCAGATATATATAGTTTTGGAATGATTGTATGGGAAATGACAAGTGGTCAAAAACCTTTTGCTAATTGCAAGCATGATGAGTATTTGATTTTAAATATTCTAGATGGTCTTCGTCCAAAAATTGTTGATGAAACACCACAATTCCTTGTTGAATTAATAGAACAATGTTGGGACGCTGATCCACTAAAAAGGCCGGATGCAAAAAAAATCGTTACAACTATTAATAAACATCGTTCATGGATATTTTATGGGAGTAATTGTTTTTGGAAAAATAGAAATATTCCAATGATTGGTGAAATAAATCCTCAGGCAATATATTCAAGCAGATTATTAAATTCTCTAATTAATACAGCTTTAATAATACAAAAGACAAAATTGAGCAACAATAATATTACCGGTAAGTTATATTATATAGATAATATAAACTTTTTAATAATATTTATATTTATCTGCAATTATTTTTTTAAATTAATAGATGATATATTTTTACTAAAAAATAGCAAGTATATTAAATAAAGTTTAGTTTTATTTAAATAAAAAATTAATAATAATTATCATTTGTAGTAGATATTTCGCATGAAGTTATTATGTCTAAACAAAATAGGTATAAAAATAGGTATAAAATTAAATCTACAATATTAATATCAAAGTATATTTTTAATATTTAATATTAATTTTTAATTTATCTAGTATCACAGACCTCGAAAATTTTGACAATCAAAATCAAATAACTAGCAATTATATGTTAAACCAATCTAAAAAACACAAACTTTATAATCATGGTATGTGAACAAAGTATAGCTAATCTAAAATGGACTTAAATATTAAAAATTTTAATGTTTAATATATATACTAAATTTATAGATACTACTAAGATTAAAAAACAGAAATATTGAATTACAAAGTTATTATTAGAGTTAAGTATCAAAACTTGGTTAAAATAAAAGATTTTGAATTTAACTATAATTGGTTGTACTCTAAGCAAATTTCAACTAACAAAATTATCATCAAAAATAGCAATGAATAAGACCAGTGACAACAGTAACATGATTTCGCAGATATTAAAAAGCTAAGGTAGATAGATTTCCGAAGAAAATGCCGGAATCTGATTAATTATATTTATAAAATTTTCTTAATGTTTTTTCTCTTAAGTGTTTATATAAATAATTTTAATTTACAACAAATAAATCCGAGTCTTGTGTCGTGACAAAATATCAATACGATATGCTTTATCCTGAAAGAACGCTTGCTATATATATATACTATATATATATATAATATTAGTATTTCTGCAATAAATGGAAAAGCCAATTTAAAATATAAGAATCTTATTGAATTATATATATTAATAATTATTATTATTATAACGGTAAATAATCATTGCTTAAAGCTAAGATGTAATATCACATAATATTCGTGGTCCTGTGAACCCTAGCGTCGTCCGTAAAAAATGGTAGTCGGTTACATGTGATTTCGGATAAGATCATAAACGACCCTAGCGTTGCCTGTAAAAGTGGTAGCCGAATAGATCTGTCGGTTACCTGTAATTTCGGACCTGCCTATAACGATAAGATGATTGATTACAAATCATTTATTATCGTAAAATTTTCTTTATCATAATAACTATTGTAGTTCACGCTGAAAACATTTTGATCAATATTTGACCTATAATCTTATCCGAAATCACACGTAACCGGAAGATCTGTCCGGCTACCATTATTTACAGGCGACGCTAGGGTCGTTTTACAATGCGTTGGGGTTAAGTAATTTTATAAGCCACTGTATCTATCTTCACTCCTATCTCTCATTAATACCGTCCAAGTCCAAAAATAGACATTTCTCTAATGTGAATAAATTCTAAGCTCGAACCCGTAAATTGAATAATGCCTGTAAATCGGATATATTCCAAAACAGCATTTTCCAAATACGTAATAACGATAATAAACTCTAAGTCCGAACTCCGTAAATTGAACTTGTAAACCAATCAAATGTAATTTCCAAAGAAAGTATTTCCAAATATAAATAAATTCCAAGTCCAAACTCCGTAAATTGCTCAATCACTTTCTTTAATCAAAAATTTTCACGTAATTTCCAAAAAAACATTTCTAAATATGAATAAACTCTAAATCTGAACTCCGTAAAAATTGAACTTACAAACTAATCAAATGTCATTTATTTAAGATTGTTTTCGCGTAATTTCCAAAGAAAGCACTATTATTTTAATCTTTATTATCCTTTGTCTACGTATCTGTATAGATTTCACCAAATCACCTGTTTCAATTCGTTGTTTTATATCTACAGTATTAAAATCATTGAATGGTATTCATTCTAATCTAATTTACTGTATCCAGTATTAAAATCATTGAATGGTATTCATTCTAATTTAATTTACTGTATCCCCCCTTAAAAATTATCCAAAAAAAAAAAAAATCGTTCGATTGTTAGGTAATTTCTGATTTCTTAAAAAATCATCAGTGATCAAACGTTTTTTTTTTTTTTTTAAGGGGATACAGAATTTTGCAAACCGCAATAAACTTATGTTGCCTTAATTAAATTAAATTGTCAATATCTCGATTTCCACTATTAAGATTCTGGAACCGATACATAACTTATTAATCTCAAACATAAGATTTTTTTTATAAAGCTAATTACAAATACTTTATATTGCTCGCTAGAATTTACTACAGTTTACGCATTTGTCACTATTGCGCTCTATGTTTAAACTTTATTTTATTTATTTTAACTTTTGTGTCTAGACACCTCACTAACCTAGACCTTAACCTAACTATAAAAAAAAAAAAAAATGCTCCCACAAAAATCTTGAAATAACTTTTTTTGCTCAAATGCTAGACCTATAACACTAATCAGCATGGAAGCTTTCTCCTATCGCCCACAGTGTCATAATTTCATTCATGCCATAGATATTATCAAGTATTTCTTTTACATTATGGATAATGTATTTAATTTGATAATTCCTACCACTTTACAAGATAAAGTAGATTAATTAGCTATCTAATTTTAGAAGTGCAGTATTTAAGCGGGTATTTATTATTTGTCTAACATTTGGTCTTTTATTCAGCTTTCGATGATTTAGTTGCATATTCATGGGATAATAATGGCTGATGAAACTATTTTTGCAATAACGAAGGTTTCATCACGTATTTCACTTGACAATATTCTTGAAGATTGACAAACTTTTGGAAGTCACTTACAATTAAGGATGCTAACAATACTCGTAATTAAATTTGATAAATATAAACTTTTCGAAAAAAATCATTTGCATAAACATTAACATGATCATGGAAAAAATAGTACTGAGAGTCTTTACATAGGCGCCGTTTATAAATTTTTACAAAGAAAAATTTTAATTATAGAAGAGTAATCTCTTTTCCGAAAACTTTTTTTTTTTTTACTACATAGACTTTAAAAAAACTTTATATCCAGAGATGAGACCAACAAAATTAATACTTATGCACTAGTTCTTCAATTTATTTAAATTGCGGCTTAATTTGCTAAAAGTGACCGCTTTATTTATGATTCCAGGGATTCTCTGTATTTTTAATAAGGAACAAACTGTTCACACTTTATTCATGTCCATTAATTAGCCTTATACTATCACAAAGCTATTCTAAAATTTCTATTTGCAGCAGCTAGTACAATAAAAAAGGTAGCTGCACGACGCAGTCTTGCAAAAACTAAGGTTAATCTAGAAAGAAAAGAAAAGAAAGTTTTTATGTTTTTGCCAACTTAATTTAGTTGCAAGCAAATAATATTAATAAAATTTATAACAGTCGTTTACTAAATAGATCTGAAAGTATCTATCTGCTATGTGTTCGAGTAGTTTAATTTAAATAATTTGATTACAGTAATTATGTGAAAGATATTTTATTTTTAAAAATCATCCGTTCTTCATTACTCGTCTGTCTTCACTATTTTTTTTTAATTATTCTTTATTCACTACGTAGACAATAATAAATTCAAAAAATTCGATGCTTCACATCACTGATCCATTGAATTAGCACCGTTCTTAAATTTCCAAATAATACAATCAGAATAAAATAATATTTATACTGTCCATAACTTACTATGTATATAAATATCAAAACCATATTTTTAAAATAGTGGTGCTTCGTGCCTGGTTCCGTATAATCTTTGCTTTATTTAATGAAAATAAAAGATGTTGCTGAAATAACATATAATCCTTTATTTGAATGGATTAATGAAAGCAAATCATTCGCACTTGGCTACCATAGTTTTCTTGACAATCTGCGACTTGGTTCATTCCAATAAGGAACAACACGGTTGGTTTGTTATTATTTATATCTTATTTTATCAATATGGGGTATCATTTATTCATTAAGCGAAAAAATTTGTATATAAAAAATAATATCGCAGATATACACTGCAATTATATAACATGTGAAGGTACGTACATACACCATCTATCCATTTTCTGCACACCATTTACGAGCATGGATACCTTTATAGTGTTTCATAAAAGTAAAACGATCAGAGAAGTTATTTCGCAATTCTTTGTCTGATGATTCTGATGATTTCTGATCATGAAATATAAATTTATGAAATAATGGATAATAGAGAGTAATAAAACTTACTTTTGAAAGTGTATCATCAATTTCTCCTGGAATTCACATTTGAAGTACCATTATTCCAACAAAGTCCCATTACTTTTTTGCTTATTTTTTGGATTTACAACCAATCGATGAGCCCGTTGCAAAATAAACTTCCTTGAATTCTTCTTGAATACTACGACCTTCACAACAAAAGTAAGTATACACATTCAATTTCAAAGTTGACGAAAAATCTCTCCAGCAACAACTTGAATTTTGTGGCATTGGTGGGTGTTTTCCTTTGTTGAACTCAAATAGATTTGCTGATTTCTAAGGTATACGTCTTTACTTGTTCATTTAGCAATTTGAGTTCTTCAAATGTATAGATACGTTCAAAGTCCAAATTATCAAGGTCCATTTTATGGTTGTTGACTTTAGGCGCAAAGATACTATTCCTGATGGATCAATCGTAATGATCTTTGATAGGGTTAAAAAAAAAAAAAATATATTTATTTGACTACTGTTCCTGTTAGGGTTCTAAAAATGAACCCCAATCCTAATTTTTTTTTCATATACTTTGCTATAGTTGTGTTGTATTTTAGAACGGTATTTTTGCACTTTAGGTATACTAAAGAAATTTTTGAAATTTGACCTAACGATTTTTATATTACACAAGATCAATGACTGGATATAAATTCCCTTCATCATCAAGATAAATACCCCTAAAATCGGGACAGATTAAGGCCATCAACAGATACAGTAAATGCATACCTGATACAATAAGAAAGGACTAATATTGCATACTACAATTTCAACAGTAATAATCATAAAAAAAATTACTTTTGATTACCTGCATATATATGATGTAAATTACATCAGGATGTAATTTGGTCTGTCCGCGTATTTCTGTATTTCGTGTTTAATGTAAACATAATGAATTATGGACTGCATTAAGTTAGTCTATAAAAGAGGACAGATATTATACGTATGTAGCAAGTCACATGCTGTCTACAGTAGTTAGTTAATCAGGTCACTTTTTAAAAACGAACGGGTACAGTACATACACTTTAAATTTTCTTATGATTGACCAAAATTAATGAATTTCGATATACTACGCC